TTAAAGAGCTAGTTACATTCAGGCACTGTGCTGGGAACTTCCCAGCTGTGAATTCTTTTTTTTTCAAAGTATATTTCTTATTGAATTTTTGTGCATTTCACATAATACATCTTAATCATATCTAGACCCTCCTTCCCTTTCTCCACCCCTCATAGCACCTCCATTGGATTTCATGCATTCTGTCATATATGTTAAGGCCTATCAAGTCAAGTTTGTGTCCCTAGATGTCCCTCGTGTGAGTTCATCCATTGAATTCTGATCAACTTATCTAGTGTCGTTCCCTTAAAAAGATCAACTCTCTCTCATCCAGCAGTGATCAGTTGCCAATAGTTCTTCAGCTAAGGTTGGGGCCTCCTGCCCATTTCCCCAGTTCTATGATGGGTTTTTGTCTGGTTTGAGTTTGTATAGGTCTTATGTATGCCGTCACCATTGCTGCAAGTTCATATGAACACGTTCCCGGAAGCCTGGAAGGTTCTGTTTCCTTATAGTCATCTACCAACCCTGGTTCTTACAATCTTTCCACCCTGTTTTCTACACTGGTCCTTGGGCCCTGGGTCGGTGAGGTTTAATATAGGGGTCCTATCCAGGGACTAGAACTCTGGAGTCTCTTATTTTCTATACTTTGGCCAATTGCGGCCTTCTGTGTTAATTACCCTTTGTGGATGAGGAAACTTCAATGGTGAGAGTTGAGAGACGCATTAGTATTCTCTCTACCCTATGTTCCTCTATGTTCCATGAGCCTTAGGGGTAGAGGCTCCATAGCAGATGTGTCACTTAAGACTAGACATCTCACAGATACTTAATCTCTGTGTTTGACCAGTTATGGAACCCTGTAATAGTCTCCATCTGTTGCAAAAAGAAGCTTCTTTGATGAACGGCATACTGTATACTTGTCTGTAAATATAAGAATCCATATTTAGTATATAGTAAGGAATTATGTTTAAGGATGTCACAGATGTAGAGTTTTCTCTAGGACCTATGGGCTCTCCAGCCATGTGTATTTGGCTGTGTTTACAGTACCACACATGAGTTCTCTGTTCTATTGAGCAGGTTTTAAGTCCAATTAGATAGCTATTGATTACCCCCAAGACAAAAGTGCCACTACCGCACCAATATAATTTGCTGTGCCAGTCATTGTTGTGGGTATTAGACTTTAAGGCTGGGGTTGGACCACTGATTGATTTTTCTCCCTTAGCAGCTTACATAGTATCCTCTGAGACTATGAGAGCTCGTCTTCAGGGAGGAGGCTTCCAGGGCAGTTCCAGTTCCATCGCTCCAAGTCCTGTGTCCAAAGTCTGTCCTGTCTTCAGCAACAGGGTCTTACTTTCAAGTTCTGGTAGGAAATCAAGGGCTATGACAATGGCCTATGTTATTTTAGGAGTCTCTTGGACTACCCTAACCAACAACTAACTAACTCAAAGGGAAGTTTCTCCTGTCTGGCACTGTGCTTCTTATTACACACACATGCACTCACGTACAGATATTGTATGTGTAATTTTCAGTAGGCTTTTGAACTACTGCCTTTCTCTCTGGTTTTTCACACCATTAAGCATTATTAATTTTTCCTCTATCTCCCTAACATTCCCTCCTCCCTCCCCAGTTAAGGCACCCCCATTTTCCCCATTTTACCCTTATTAATACCTGTCTACTGTTATCCCCCCTCCCCTGGGCTCCTTCTTCCCCTTTACCACCATGATTTGTTATATAACCCTCCCTCCTCCCCTCCCAGTTAAATAGCCCCATTTCACCCTCGGTAATATCTAGCTCCTACTGTCCCCCTCTTTTGGCCTTTACCTCCATGGTTTCTTTCCATTTTCCCGAATCCTGCACAGCTGTGAATTCTTTAGTGAATTTTTTTATTTTTTGAGACAGGGTCTTCCTGTATCTCCAGCTGGCCTGGAACTCACTATGTAGACCAGATTGGCTTTGAACTCACAGAGATCTGCCTGCCTCTGTCTCCCAAGTGCTAGGACTAAAGGTGTGTGTCACCACACCCATCTCTCTTTACTGAATTTTAACTATGACTCTTTGTGGCACAAAAAAAAAAAAAACTAAAACTAAAACAAAAAAACTTAAGTAGCTTGTCCAAGGTCACAAAGTCTGCAAAATGACTAAATTAGGGTGTTAACTCAATATCAAAACTTTTCTATTCTTCCTTCTGTTTGATAGCTTAAAGTTTTCTTAAGGGCTTTGAACTCTTGTATGATTATAACAGTTAACAAATAAAGATAAGTGAGGGATAGGGCTTTTTCAGTAGAAATATTGTTTGTTGTCTTTCAGAAATTCCTATTTACCTGGCCATCCTGGGTATAATGCGGCAATTCTATATTTTATGATGATTAGTCATGAAACAAAAAGCACATAAGTGTATACACACTCCTTTAAAGTTAAACAAGATAAAACATGCAAAGTTCCTGGATCCCAGTGAGGTTGAACCCATTGGTGTTAAACATTAAGAGACTGAGACTGGAGTCTTGACTGTGTGGCTGAAACCAATCACCTTCCCTCCCTGGGCCATCCCTGGGAAGTTAAATGATTGGTGCTGGCATCTCTCAGCCTCCCAAAACCCCCGTCAATGCCACCATCTCCACCTGTGAAGAAAGGGCCCCTCCTACAGGATAGTCAGCCCAGGTATCCCTTTGACAACTTGCAGTGACACGGTGGCTTTGGTGGTTGTTGGGGGCTATGTGGGGGGAACTCTGGAATGTCCTGAGCTGTTGTGAAACCACAGGTGAATCTAAAAACTGTCTTGTTTCCATGTAGCTCTGGAAGATGTTCCATGTTGTGGTTTAGATCTAGAATGTTTCCCTAGGGTGTCGACTTTTTCATCACCAGGACAGCAGCATTCAGAAAGGGAACTGCTGAGGCTGATTGGATCATGAAGGCTATGACTGTGTCAGTGGACTAACCCATGAGGTTGTACTGTCCAGGGCTATTCATGAGTTGGGCCTACTTTGAGGAAGTAGGTCATAGGAGCAAGATTTTGAAAGCTGCATCTTATGCTTGTCTGCTTCATTTCTATCTTTGCTTCCTGGACATGATGACATGGCAGTTTGGCTCCTCCATGCCCCTGTCAGCCATCATATTCTGCCTCATGACATGCCCATGGTGATGGAGACAAAATAGCCCTTTCTTCCTTTTAAATTGTTTAGCTTGGGCATTTCATAACAGCAACTGAAAACTGGCTAACATACTCCACCTAAAAAGAGATAAGGACATCCATGATGAAAAAGGTTTGGAAAATAGTATAAGATGTATTTAGCCCACACACCCCTCCACAATTCAGTTACACAGTCATGAGTCTTGTTTAGCTGCACTTCCCTCCCATTCCCCAAGCCTTGCCAGTGGCCCCTCTTGATTGCAAAGCATTCTGTTCAACACCTGTTCCGTGGGACTCACTCGGGGCCACTGAGGCCCAAGATCTAGGGCTGATGTTGTGACAGTATGCCTAAGACAACACTCAAAACCGAGTCCCAGGCTGGGTGTGGGGATGTACGCCTTTTATCCCAGCACTTGGGAGGCACTGGCAGATCTCTGTAAGAGGGAGGCCAGCCTGGTCTACATAGTGAGTTCTGTCAAAAAACAAAACAAAACAAAACTGAGTCCTACTTCTGAGGCAACTTCAGAGCACAATATAGCATCAGGCAACTTAGGATTTGGAGAAATACAGTGCACGTTTTTAAAAATGTCATTTAAAAATTATTTATCTATTTAAATTTTTTATTTATTATTTTTATTTTATGTGTGTACGTATATTGCCTGCATGTAGGTAAGTGCACCCATGTCATGCAGTGCCCTCAGAGGACAGAAGATGCCGTCAGGTCCCCTAGAACTGCAGTTATAGACAGTTGTTAGCTGCCATGTGGGTGCTGGGATTCGAACCTGGGTCTTCTGCAAGAACAACCAGCGTTCTTAACTGCTGAGCCATGTTTCAACTGTATGTATATAAGTGCATCCATATATGCAATGCCTGTAGGGGCCAAAAGAGGGCATCAGATCCCCAGAAACTGGAGTTTTGGATGGTTGTTAGTTGCCATGCAGGTAGGAAATGAACCTAGGTCCTCTGCGAGAGCATCGAGTGTTCTTAATCTCTGAGCCATCTCTCCAGCCTCAGTCTTCCTTCTAACATAGATTTTACTCTGTCTCTCTCTCTCATGCTCACTCTAGCTCTCGCTCTCATGTATGTGTGTTTGTGTGTATGCCTGTGTGTCTTTTTCTCTCTCTTCCTTTCTTTGCGACAAGGGCTTATGTAGTCCACTTTGGCCTTGAATTTGCTATATAGTTGAAAATTATCTTGAACTTCTTTTTTCTTTTTTAATTGAATTTTTGCAAATTTCATGCAATACATCTTGACCATATTTAGACCCCTCCCCTATCTGCATCCTCTTATAGCCCCCCCCCACTGGTTTCATGCATTCTGTCATATATGTTAAGGCCTAGCAAGTCAAGTCCGTATCCCCAAAGTTTCCTTGGTGTGAGTCTATCCACTGGAACTTGGTCAACCTATCTAGCATCACTCCCTTAAAGAAAACCAACTCCCCCCTCTTAGTAGTTATTGGTTGCCAATAGCTCCTCAGCTAAAGTTGGGATTCTTATCCACTTCTCCACTTCTATGCTGAGTTTTTGCCTGGTTTGAGCTTACATGGGTCTTGTGCATGCTGTCACCATTGCTGTAAGTTCATATGAGCAACTTCCCAGCTGCCTGGAAAACTTTGTTTCTTCTATCACCCCTGGCTCTTACAGTCTTTCACTCGCTCTTCCTCAACAGCCCCCTGATCCCTGGGTAACAGAGGTTTGATATAGGTATCCTACCCAGGGTGAGCTTGAACTTCTGAGCCTCCAGCCTCCACCTCCTGGGTGCTAGGATTACTTACAGGCATGAGCCAGCACACCCACTTTATGAGGTGATAGGCATTGTATTAGCTATTTTTCTGTTGCTGTGAAAAATACCATGGCCAAAGGCAACTTAAGGAAAAGTTTCTTTTAACTTATAATTCCAGGGAGCTAGGAGTCCATAACGGCAGGGAGGCACGACAGCAGGTGGCTGGAGCGGGAAGCTGGCTGATCTCATCTCAACTGCACACAAAAAGCAGAGAGCGTGAACTGGAAGTAGGCAAGGCTACAAACTGTCAAAGCTCACCCCCAGTGACGTACTTCCTCCGGCAAGACTCTCATCCATAACCTCCCTAAACAGCACCACCAACCAGGGACCACACGTTCAAAGCTATGAGCCTATGGGGGACATTTCTACTGAAAAACACCACAGGGATCAAACCTAGGACTTCATGAATGTTAAGCAAGCACTCTACCAACTGAACCACATTCTCAGTCCTGGGCCTTAATTTCTCTTTGGAAATGGACAAAGAACCTACGAACTACGCGAGGTAAGCCATTGGACACAGGCACAGATCGCAGGCTTCAATTCATAGAAGGACAGTATCTCTGACATACAAGCTCCCATCTGGATGACCTTGAATGACCTCAGCATATTCCTCTAACCCTCCTGAACCACAGGTTCCACCTCTAGAAATTGGGCAGTTTTATCACCCACAGAAGAGCAAATGCTTTGTGCGTGGCTGGCAATAGGAAGTGCCCATGGTAGGTACCCACCTGAACAAGCTGAAAGAAACAGCCCCATGTGGAGATTGGGGTTCACTTGGATCACAGCCAGCCATGGACACTGATGAGGGACACACAGGGGCCCTCTATGCAGGAGGTCAGATGAAGCCAAAGGGATAGGAGTCAGGCCTTAGTGTTTGAAGAGTCCTGAGGCAGAAGGCTCGAGAGTAACACCCAAGGAAGGCCTTCCAGAGCCACAAAAGACCCATGCTTGGGTCAAGTTTCTCTTCTATCTCCGGTAAACAAGATAACACCTGCCTTCTTTGCTGCCAAAGGATAACCGGAGACTCTTGTGAAGCATTAAATGGATCACACCCATAAAGAGCAAATTTAAAGTAACAGGATGGAGATTGTTCTCTGGCTCAAAGTCGGTGTTTATGAAGTGGGTGTGCATTGAGCTCTCTAACCTTCAGGTAGAAAAATACTTGTTCTCTCCATCAGCTAATGAGCCCCACCTCCCTGGCTGCTGGAAAATTCCACCCTGGTCACATTTTGTAAACGTTTGTAAATCTCTTCTTTGCAGGGTTATGCAGACATCTTGGGGAATTCCTGCAATCTGAAAGATTCAGAGAGGTGCCCTCTGATTGACACCCTATGCTGGACTCTGCCTGATCCATCTGCTGGTCCAGCCTTACCTTCAAGGTGGTCTCTTTGCAGTCTTGGAGACAACCTCGAGTACAGGGGGTCTTCACCCAGGCCAGAGGTCTTTGTGCTCAGGGATCAGGATCCCCTCAACTCAGCCCATGACTGATCATTCTAAGCAGAGCTTCTCCTGGCCCCACTTTGCAGGTCCCCTACCATCTCTCTGTCCTGTGCTTTTCTGAGGGAGCTCTCCCAATCTCCTCCTCTCAGCCAGGCGAGGTGGCCCTCACCTATAATCCCAGTGCTCAGGAGGTAGAGGCAGGGGGATCAGGAATTCAAGGTCATCCTCGATTACATAGTTGGAAGTCGGTGTGGCAGTGTATGCCTTTAATCCCAGCTCTCAGGAAGCAGAGGCAAGCAGATCTCTATAAGGCCAGGGCTACACAGTGAGACCCTGTTTCAAAAATAAATAAATAAAACAAAAAGACCCGAAAGAAAACAAATCAAATTCCTCCTCCATTTTCTTCCTAGTCAGAGTTGCTGGGGCTCTGAATCCTTGGCGCCCTGGCCCTCTCTGACAATCCCACCCAATTCTAAGCAGGGGTAGGAAGAATCTGAAGAGGGCCTGGAAACCCCTGCTTCTGGCTACTTCTTGGGTTTGAGGATGGAGAATAAAGATGCAAATGAATATCCCAGTGACCAATGCACAGTACTAGGTGCTTGGTAGTCCTCAAGCAAAGTACACTTTAGGTGCATTCGGGTTGGAAGCAGAGGCCAGAACCTGGAGAAGGAGGTATGAATCCCCTGTCCTACTTGTTCCAAGCTAGATGGCTGCAACTGGCCTTCTAGCACATTCCTCGACCCTCCTGAATCTCAAATTCCACATCTAGAAATCAGGCAGTTATACCTCCCACATTAGAGCAAATGAGATATTATAAGAGAATGCCTTGAACATGTATTATTTTATTTATTTTGTGTGTGTAGGAGTGTATTGCCTGCATGTATATAAGTGCACCAGTGTTGTGCAATGCCCATGGGGGTCAGAGGAGGAGGGTCTTAGATCCCCCGGAACTGGAGTTAAAGATGGTTGCTAGCCACCATGTGGGCTATAGGAACCAAACCAGGGTCCTCCACAGGAGCAGCCAGTGCTCTTAACCACTGAGCCGTCTCTCTAGCCTCTTATTATCATTATTTTTGAAGAGCATTCTATTTGAATTTAGTGCTATGTTCTTATTTTCAAGTGAATAGTTCTGAGAAGTATTGTGGTTTGCTTTTCCCCATTGCTGTGATAAAATACCATGACCAAAAGCAACTTAAGGAAGAGTTTATTCTGGCTTATAGTTCCAAAGAGGTAGATGTCCACCGTGGCAGGAAGGCCTGGTGGCAAGAGCAGATAGTTGAAGGAGCACATCACAACTACGCACAGGAAACAGAAAGCAAACTGGAAGTGGGGCGATGTGCTTCCTCCAGGCTGCACCTGCTAAAGTTTCCGGAACCCCCCAAACAGGGCCACCAATAGGGGATCAAGCGTTCAAATGCATGCGCCTATGGGAGAAATTTTCTTTTCTTTTTTTGATTCATTTATTTTTATGTGTATATCGCCTGCATGTATGTAAGTGTGCCCGTGTCATGCAATGCCTGTGGAGGCCAGAACAGGGCTTTGGACTCCTGGAACTGGAGTTGCAGGTGGTTGTTAGCCACCATGTGGCGACTGGGAATCAAATTTGTGTCCTCTATAAGACCAGCCAGTGTTATTAACCACTAAGCCATCTCTCCAGCTCCAAGGCACATTTCTCATTCAAACCACAATAGGCAGGAAATTTATAATGGCATTCCCTGAGCTCTGACGTGGGTCCCAGTACCAACAGGACAAAGGTGGCCCCAGATGCTAGTTCAGTCTTTTTAGGAGGGATTTCAATATTTTTAAGATGAACAGGTAACTGACCCTGACAGGTTGAAGACTGTCCCCACAGACAGCTACCAAGTCACCACCCCTCAGCCCAGAGTTCTTTCTCATTTTGAAAATATTCTGTTTCTCCTTCTTTCAGGTCACAACTGTTTAAAGAGCACAAGGTCGGGGCTGGAGAGATAGCGCCATGATTAAGGGCACCGACTGCTCTTGCAGAGGACTTGGGTTTATTTCCCAGCACTCACAGGGTGGCTAACAACCGTCCATAACTCCAGTTCCAAGGGATCCAATGCCTTGTTCTGACCTCTACAGGCATTGCATGACACAGATGTACCCATGTACATGCAGGCAATACACTCTTACACATAAAGTAAAATTAAAATATTTTTTTAAAAAAGAGCACAAGGTCATTGTGAAGGAACAGTTTAACAGTTTTTTGTTTTGTTTTGTTTGTTTTTCCTTCCTATGACGCAGGGCCAGGACTACAAACTAGGACTTTACTCTGAGATGGAGATAAATTTGAGGCCTCTGTACAGAACAGGTACTGAGTGAAGACTGTCTTTTTCTTTTTTCTACTTCTAGAAATGAAACTCAGGGCCTATTATACACTAGGCAAGTGCTGTACCTCTGAGCTGTACTCTCAGCCCTCACTTTATACTTTATACTTTTTCTCATGCATGAGTGAAAGGAAATCAAGGTTGACAGTTTGAGGCTACATGAGAGGGAGGACGTGGGCAAGCAGAGTGTTTCCTTAGGAAACACTGATATTCCTGACCACTGAGGCTAGCTGCACATGCCCTCTATGTAGGCCTGGTTCAAAGGAAAATCCAAATGTAAAGGCCTGATAAGGGTGGCTGCCCCTGGGAGGAGCCTGGGGCTGGGGCCCTGGGCATGAATGGAGTCAAGGAAAGGGAAGGTGTTCTAGTTTCTTTCTCCATTGCTGTGACAAAACACTCTGACCAATACCAACTTGGAAGGAAAGGGTTTATTTGGCTTATATCTCCTGGGTCACAGTTCATCAGGGAGCCCAAGGTAGGAACTCAGGGCAGGAACTTGGAGGCAGAAGCTGGAGAAACGCTGCTTACTGGCTTGCTCCCCTGGCCCATGTTCAGCTTGCTTTCTTATGCAACATAGGCCCACCTGCCCAGGGATGGCACTGCCCACAGTGGCTGGGCCCTCCCACATCACTCAATCAAGAAAATACCCCACAGACATGACCACAGGCCACTCCAATGGAGACCTCCTCTACCTAGGTGTGTTAACTAAAGCTATCCAGCGCAGAAGACTTGCTTGTAGTATATTAAATTGTATTTTTAAATATTTTATTTATTTTATTTTATTTTATGTATGAATATATTGCCTGCATGTATGTAAGTGTACCCATGTCATGCAATGCCTGCAGAGGTCAGAAAAGGTGTCAGATACCTTAGAGCTGGAATTACAGACAGTTGTTAGCTGCCATGTGGGTGCTGGAAACCAAACCCATGTCCTCTGCAAAAACAACCAGTGTTCTTGTCCTAGCTTGTTTCTTCATTGCTGTGACAAAATACTCTGACCACTACCAACTTGGGGAGGAAAGGGTTTATTTAGCTTACATATCCTGGGTCACAGTTCATCCAGAAGCCCAAGGTAGGAACTCAGGGCAGGAACCTGGAGGCAGGAGCTGGAGCACAGGCCGTGGAGGAACGCTGCTTACTGGCTTGCTCCCCTGGCCCCTGCTCAGATTACTCTCTTATGCCCACCTGCCCAGGGGTGGCACTACCCACAGTGGACTGGGCCCTCCCACATCACTCAACAATCAAGAAAATGCCCCACAGACATGGCCACAGGCCAGTCCAATGGAGTCAATTCCCCAATTGAGGCTCCCTCAACCCAGGTGTGTCAAGTTGACACTAAAGCTATCCAGCACAGCTCTTAACCACTGAGCTATCTCTCTAGTTCTGCATTGGTCACTTTAAAGCAGCTAATTTTTCCCCCAAAATAAGGTAGGAGATTGTGGAGAGCCACAGCCTCCGCCGCCATTACAAGATGGCGCCGGTATCCGGACCTTCTTAACAGTAAACATCCTGCTGCGCCCATAAGGGGCGTGCACAAGAGCCTGCTCTCCCTCGCCTCCTCCCGTGGCGTGATCTCCAGCAACCAATCCGCTTCTTATACGTCATAGATGGGACCTTTAGACTATATAAGCAACCGCTCTCCCACTTCTTGGTGTCTTCGGTCTTTAAGCTTCTAAGAGTGTAAGATATGCATACAATAAACTGCTGCAGAAGGATCCTGACTTGTCCTCCCGCGTCGTTCTTGCCGGCGAGACGGAAAGCGGTCGGGGACAGGAGATGATGTCTTGCACATCAGCTGGTATAGTTTGTGGTTTGTGTGGTGTGGTTGAAGGACTCAGGGAGCTAGAGAGCCTGGGTTGCCCTGTTAGCTCAGTAGGAAACCAATCTGTCCTTTGCCTAGTCCTGGGATTGGTGGGAAGAACATTTCCATCCGGAGACTCGGATTCTTTTTTATTTGTTTATTTATTTTTATTTTATGTGTATGAATGTTTTGCCTGCATTCAAGTGCACCCCATATGCACAATGCCTGGGGAGGTCAGAAGAGGGCAATTAACCACCGAACCATCTCGCTAGCCCAATTCAGAATGTTTTTAATTCAATTTAAATATTTTTATTATTTTTATTTTACATGTATTAGTGTTTTGCCTACATTTATGTCTGTGTACTACATTCATTCAATGTCTTTGGAGGCCATAAAAAGGTGTCAGATCCCCCCTGGAACTGGAGTTACAGATGGTTATGAATTGCCATGTGGGTGCCAGGAACCAAACCCAGGTCCACTGGAAGAACTGCAAGTGCTCTTAACCACTGAGTCATCTCTTCAGCCCTGATTATTCAGAATATCCAACACTCTTCAGGAGGAAGCACTCTTAATGGCTGAGCCATCTCTTCAGTTCCTTTTTAAAAATTAATAAATGTTTGACCATCTCTCTAGTTCCTTTTGAAAATTTAATAAAAATCAAATTTACAAAAACCATGAAGTTGTAGAGATGATATAAAGAATGATATGGGGGCTGTGGACATGGATTGGTGGTTAGGGAGCTTTCTGAGCAAATAAGAGGACCTGAGTTTGAGTTCCCAGCACCCACATAAAAAGCACGACACTGATCGCTGTGTGAACCTACAGCTCTAACACTGGGAGGAGTGGAGACAGGAGGATCCTGGGAACGCTTTAGCCAGCCAGAAACAGTGACCTTCTGGTCCGATGAGAGACTCTGCCTCGAGGTAATAAGGCAAATGACAGAAGACAACCCACTTTCTGCTCTGGCCTCCATGTGTGTGGGCATGAGCGTGCACACCAGCACACTCTGTCTCATGAATACACCACACAGACACACAAACGCACAGACACAGGCACACACACAAAGACGGAAACACACAGAGGCATAGACACACAGAGACAGACACACAGAGACACACACACAGATAGACACACATACAGACATAGACACACACACAGACACAGGCACACATATACAGACATATACACAGAGACATAGACACACATACAGACTCAGATATAGACC